ACTTCGAAGTAAAAGGAAGTGATTCAAGTGTACGTAGTAGTAATGTACAGGTGAGTAGTACGTAGTCGTAAAGCAATGTTACTCAATCGCTCACCTTCCGCAACGTTATGTACAGTACATTTTGTAGTGGAAAGAGTAAAACAAACGTGGAAGCAGGGAGTTGAGGGAAATACTGAATACTTCGATTTAATGTGTAAGCGCTTTGACGTCGAAATCGAGTTTCGTCATATAAGTGAGGTAAAATGAATAGGCACCAGTTTATAAATATTGATAAAAATGAAGTGATAAATAAGGATGCAAAAATCAATTCTATTCAAAACCTAAAGGCTCCAGATCGTTTTCTTCTTGGGCATCTCGTGGTTAGCAACTTTCGCCTCCAAAATCATGGCGGATTGAGTGAATGTCTTGGACACACAAAGCGTTTCAGGATAAACTTCACACGGCAAGGGTATGCTCAACTTCGTTCGTGGCGGTTGTCGATCGGTTGCGCGTAGTGTTTCGACAGCAAGGCGCGTAGCATTGATCATCGGCAACAAATCATACGTTGCTTCGTGAGCCGCCTTGACGTCACCGTACGCCGCGTCGACATCCCACAAATCTGTCGGCCACGAAAACGACATCTCAAATGAGCGTTTGTCGTCGCCAACATCGACTTCAATGTGATCGGTGTTGCGAGGCTCCGCGAGGAGAACACGGACGTAAACCTCCCGTGAGGGGTAGCGACGATACTGAACCGTCATGCACGGATAGTTCGAAAACTGACAGTGAGTTTCCTCGTCCAAGGTACTTGTTCGTGCGATTTCAGTTAATTCGTCGTAGTCACAAGGTGGGATATGAGTTGATCCATTGAAAATCGGTGGTCGTTGTACTATAGTAATGGAGAGTTAGAATTATTGAGAAAATATCAATTGTATAGCTCATATATGCGTATGCGTCTTACAAATAGCGCCATGGCGTGACATGGACTTTCTCATGTGTGCTCGGAACGTGTCGAAGTTGTACTCCCGAAAGAGGGCATATTGGTCGTATACATCACGGGGTTTTGATGACGCTTCAATTGCGCAAGTTTGGATCAAGCTGTCCATCAACTTTTGTGCCTCGCATGGCGGGGCAGTTGTCCATATGTGCCGTGGTTCCGTCAACTTTCGCTTCGATGCTCGGTTCATCTCTTTCCTGTCGATTTTGAAATGAAATGCGCGCGAACGACAGTCGCGTTGGTTGACGGTTTCGAAATCCGGATAAATCTAGTAATACTAGGTACTAGTAGAACTTTCTGGAAATCAAACGATATCCAGGGAGATCCAGGTTTTGAGGGAAAGTACAATTCTGACAACTTTGACGGTCGAGGTCTCCATAAATCAACTTCCAACCCTTCTTCTATTCATGGATCTCGGAGCTATGTAGTGAAGGTATCACATAGAGCAACTTTCGATTCAATAGGATGCTCAGGAACCTCTTTGGATCTGACATCCAAAACAGAGATTCAGGTCGAAATACGATGAATTTGCATTTTTCAACTCCTTGGATCTC